TAAAATTAAAATTCAACGTTGCAATTAAACTCCTATATGAAATCATTTAATTGCAACGTGATTGAACTTTTACAGACAAAACTAAAGCAAAGTTCCAAATATTCAAATTACAATATTAAAACTTTCCCATGAGAATTATTCTAAACAATTTTTTGCTTACTAAACAGTTATTTCTTATAAATAGAGTAAATTCAATAGCAGCTTTGCTTGGTTGGTAATTCAGTAGCTCGTTAGTTATTAAATCGTTTTGCCGTTTAGAAAATAAAGATTTAAAAATAAAGTTAATAAGTTTGGAATTGGAAATTAAAGTGTAATTAATTAATAAATGAAATAAAAAGAACTTTTATAAATCTTAAAATATTTTTTGTGTAAAGTAAAAACTTATAGTTTAATTTAATAAGTTTGGAATTGGAAATTAAAGTGTAATTAATTAATAAATGAAATAAAAAGAACTTTTATAAATCTTAAAATATTTTTTTTGTGTAAAGTAAAAACTTATAATTTAATTCGCGTGCACACACAGACCGACAGACGGACAGACCGACAGACCGACAGACCGATAGGTTGCTAAAAGTAGTTTATTTACACTTCCCTACTATGGAGAAGTACGTTCCCACCGAAAACTCGATATGCAAAATTTGTTGCCATCACATAACCTACCTATTGTTTACACAATACGGTCGGTAAAAAACGTTCCTGTTACAAGTTTGACAATGTCCGAAGAAATAGAAAACCAGGAAATTGTATTATATGTTTTTAGTAAAATATATATAATTATTATGTATAATGTTTACATTGCAAAATTTATTCCATGGTATACGAGTATAAGTAAAGCGTAAATCAAAATTATTTTATGAGGTATTTTTATAGCAACATTTCATATTAAGAAATAAGTTTGATTTAAAGAATTTTAAAGAAATTTTTGAGGAGATTTTGTTTAGATTCCAAATAACCACTTATTCGGTTCATTATCAAACACTTATTTGTATGTCACCCTTATTATTTTTTTTAAGAATAGTGTAAAGCTACTGAACTCTTTAATTGAGATCTTCATTCTTCTAATATAAATATCACAATCAATATGCGTGTGTTGCAATATACCTTCCATATACACGCTCATAAAATAATTAAAAAAATGTCAATTTTTTAAAAACATTGATACTCGTAAATACATTAAAAACATTGATAAATACACATTTGTAAGACATTTGATTTCACATTTGTAAACACTTGATAAATACGCATTTCGTTGAAAAATTCTCTGAGAGCTTTTAAACTTAAGTTCTCGAAATGAGGACCGAAAAATGATGTCAACGCAAGTAATAGAATACAATCAAGCAAGATTCTATTGGAAAAAGCTGGTTCTAAATTAATTTTGTTTATTAATTTTTGGTCAAGAAAATTTTACTTTCGCTTTAATACAAAGTGACCAAGAATTATGTATTTTTATATTATAATTTTGTTTTTTCTAAAATTATACAATACTAAAAAAATACAAAACATTTTTTTTTTCAAATAAAAGCATGCATAACTCACTATTCTTCAGTCATATAAAGTTTTTACTTTACGTTAATTATTTCTTCTCATAAATAGATTATTCTTTTCTTAATTTTGTCTTTTATTTTCCTCTCTCTCCATCCATCCCGCCAATAATAATATAAAAGTTTCATTCACATAAATATTTTTATATCATATTATTACGTTTTTATGGTTTATTTTTATGGTATAATATATGCACATATGTATATACAATGATGAGTATCACGAGGCTATCACGTGCACAATTCAACATAACACATAATATAATACGTTATTTGTTACAAAAAATTACAAAAAAAAAAATTCTAATGTGCTCAGCACAAAACCGACCGCAATATGTGTACTGTCTAGTTAAGTGAAAGTATTACAAAATATTATAAAAATGCCTGCTAAATTCTTCTTTCTAATTTTTAGAGTGTTAGCAAACTATAAGTTAACATACCTAGAAAAATGTAAATTTGGATCTTAGTAGAGTTTGGGTTTATACCATCCGAGTTCTCTGAAATGCTTGCCAGTTAGCTGTGTTAACCACCAGGACTCAGAATTTCAAGAAATCCCCTCAATTAGTTTGATATAATAAAAAATATAAATTCGGTCCCTAGTTCGGTTTCCGAGCCTTCATCGTTCCAAAAAATTTATATGTTCTTTGTTTTGACATCCCAAATTTAAATATTAAATTTCAAAAAAATTGGTTAATTAATCCGCCTTATATGGGAAAAAACAAATTCACATATAAAGTTTCATGAAGCTGTTCAGCCGAAATTGAGAAACGCATACACACACAGACATACCGACAGACCTACAGGTTGCTAAAAATGGTTTATTTATACTTCCCTACCACGGGGAAGTGCGTTCCCACCAAAAACTCGATATGAAAAATTTGTTGCCATCACATAACCTACCTTATTATATACACAATGCTTTCGGTAAAAGGAGAGAAACGGAAAGAACCTTATGATTGTAATATAGATATAAGATAAAAGTAAGCCATGACGTTTTTGCATAAGATGTTTTTTGGCAATTCATTTTACGATGAATTTGTTAACTTTCATTACCTGTTTTTGTTTTTGTTCAATTGCTTGTTTTATAGAGCCTGCGCATTAATTGTTTTAAAAAAATAAATATAGAAAATTGAAAAAAAATTTTGTTTTACAAAACAAAAACGTTTGCAACAACAGTAAAAATTTTTGTATATTAATAACATGCAAAATAGAGTGACCTTAATAGCGAAATCCAAAAAGTTAAACCACTAATACCAAACGTCTTAATTTGAGATATTTTTCCACTTGGAAAAATATAATACATTACGTTTTCTTAAAATTGTAATAAGTTTAACGCTGAACTCTAGAACAATAACTGACTTATTATAACACCAGGTTAAACAATAATGGGTATAGTGGTAAAAAATATAAAAACATTTAATCCGAACGATGGCGTTTCATTCGAACCCGCTATAGTTTTGCCACATCACTAAAAATCCAGTAAAATACGTCACCAAGAAATCATCTTTTTATTGTTTTATTCTATATACCATGCTTCGTCAATACGCGTACTTTTGAAGAATTCACAAGAAAGCAAAAGCAATTTGTTTAACTGTTTGATTCCTATGAAATATAAATAACTTTTCAAAAGTAAATATTTCTAAACCAAATGCAGCTAGTAGAACATTTATATTTTCAACATATGTACGTACACTATTATGAAACACGGCACAAATGGTCGCTAGGTTTTAATATATTACGAAAAAATTACGTATATATGCACCATAAGAACATATTAAATGTACATAGTGATTTACATGTCTTATAAAATTACGAAAACATACTACAAATTTTATTCAAAATAATAAAACTGAAAATTTCGAAACGATAATTATTACAATAAGTGTTTCATACAAGAAACGATGTAGTTATGTATGTATTAATATATGGATATGGAAAATTCAATACAAATTTGTGCTATAGACATCTGCAATTATAACAGAATTATCTCTCTCTCTATTATTTTGTACCGTAAAGCAATTTTAAATGAGAACGGCAACTTTTGAGCAAGTCATATGATGTTTTGATCATGTTGTGGTAATTTACTGATATTAATTATGAACCATGCTGTCAAATTATCATGAATAAACTCAAAATTCCAAAATCAACACTACCAAATTTTCAAAATTTATTTTAATAAACTATGCGTCTATATGTACTCAAATTTCGCCATATATGTCATATCGCAATTTTCGCAATATTATTTGTCATATACTAAATGAGGGACTTTTTTTCATACTGCTTTTTTTAGCACTTTTCTAAAAAAGAAGTGCTTATTAGTTTCACTATGTCTGTCTGTTCACTCGTCCGTCCGTCCCTAGACCGTTATCTAAAATCCGTTTTTTCCTAGTTTTTGATATCAGTTTTCTTCCAGACTCCTGCTTGTAGGGGTCTAAATTTAGTAGCCCTTAGATATTCATTAATAGTTCATTTCGTTAGAAGAAAATGTTCTTCCACCTCCACCCCTTCTCAAGTTATCGCCTTTCGAAATTTGTTAATTAATAAAATTGAATTTTTGCACCTTATATTTCCGAAACTGAAACCTTTTCCAAATTTCCAAGAATGCAGAAAACTTACGGTAAGTGCCATGCCATTAAATAAAATAATTATTTTTCTTAACTCGGGCAATTTACCCTTAAAATCGTGCATTATTTTAACGCCTCTTTCAATTTGTTTTGTTATTTTTCAAATATTATATGCACTGCTCATCCTAAATGTATGCAATCTTTGAAACATATTCGTAAATGAATGGAACTAATTTTAATAATGTAATGCACAGACTGTTTTTAAAAAAGTATTTTCACTTGTTGGAAAGAAAAGTCCTACATTACATACCATTGGTTTGACCCAATATTATTTATATGGACTTTATTTCCAACTTTAAATATAAAAAAAGTTGTTCGAATTTTTTTGCTGCGTTAACTTTAGTGAAATATAGCTTTCCATATGGTTTATGAGAAAATATTTTTCAAAAAAGTTTTCCAATTGTAAATTCTAAAATAATTTAGAAAACGATAAAGTCATAATTTGTGAATATCAAAACATACGTATGAAACCTACATACGACTTTGAAAACTTAAATTTCAAATTTGTTCTATAATGCAAGTACATATAGTCCGTAAACCTTATACACTGCTGCATTTAAATAATAAAACTTAATTAGGTGTTTAAATGCGATGTATAAAATCATTGATTTTTTTACAATCTGCAAAATAAAGGACACTCTGTGAAAATAATGCATATATAATTACAATATATGTATATATTTATGCAAGTGATACTATATATATGTATGTATTTACGTTTACAATTATATATATACATTTACGTGTGTGCTTTATATATGTAAACGTAAAATCTGGCATACATATAAAAACAAAAAGAAAAAAAGAAATAATGAAAAACAGAGCAGCAGCAAGCAGAATGGGTATCATCGGTATTCTTTAAAGTCGGAAAAATTTTCAGTTATCATACATGCACACATATTCAGCGAAAACAGCAGAAAACAGCAAAACAAAAAAGAAAAATATATAAACGACATTGTAAAGGACTTTTGGTTTTCCCTAAAATTTTTCTTATTGTTTTAGTTGTTGATTGTTTTCTATTACCGTTGTTTTTTTTTTATATATATAAATTTATTATCAATCTCATTACTGATCGCGGTGCCGCTTCACGAAAGATATTATGAAACCACTAATATTATAAAATTTCGAAAAAAGTAAAAATATATATATAAATAATTCTAAACAAGAAAAGTGAAAAAAAAAATAAAAATATTAAAAATTAAAGAACAATTCTGAAATATTAAATAAAATACCGAAAAAAAACTAAGATTATAGTGAATTCAAACAAAACATACACACATAGCAATCTACGCACTGTAAATTTGTAAGGATTCCAAAAATAACAATAACAATCAAAGCTCAAAGTTTGAAAGAAGCTCAGTTTTTTAACTGAAAAGAAAATCCTTGACAATTCTTTGAATTATTTTTATAACTTTATTTTTTCTTCTTCTTTTCAGTTTTACTCTGTTTTTATTTGCAATTATAAAAAAGAAACAAAAGACAAAAAACTGTGAAAACAAAAAATTAACATCCTATAATCGAGTTAAAAAAAAATTTAAATCATAAATATAAGAACAAGAAAAGGGCGTGAAAATCAAAAAAAAGGTAAGAAAATCTTTAAATTTTCAAAGTATACTATGGTTTTGTTAGAAAAAACAAAAATTTCAATATTTTTACGATATTAATTTGTTTTTGTTTTTAATATTTTTCTCTTCTATTTCTTACTTGTATTCTTAATATCTTAATGCCTCTTTTGATTCTTATATTGCTTTTCCTAATTTTTATTTAATAATAATTTTATACCCATATAAAGGACAGTTAAATGTTAACTTTTAGTATTATAGCTTTTAGACTGCTATTATGTAAAGATAACAAATGACAAAATTCCTTTTTATGTGCCGGTCGTTTCCGTCCTTTTTTTGGAAAGACATGAAGGTTTACCTACATATATAATTTTGAATATAATATGTGGATGGCTACTTTTCGTTATGCTTTTATAAAAATTTGAAATGATGGTTATGCTTTTATAAAAATTGTATAAAAAAGTACAGAAAAAGAAATGATTGTAATTAAATAAAAAATTTACTTATATCTAAAAATTACTTAAATTTAAACACAAATGTGCTAAATATACATCAGTTGACATGCTAGTCAGTTGGCAATTATAACACTATGCTAAGTGGCCATTGTCGTCAAAACTTAAATTTTATAAAAAATACTAATTTAAAAAGTTTGATTAGAAAAAAACAAAGAATAAAAATTAAATTATACAGAGTTATTGTAATTATTTTACTTCTTTTCGCAAATTTTTTTCAAAACGCTCCCACATAAAATTTTAAATTTGCTACTTAGCATATCATTGCGCTTCAGTATATGAGTAAATTACTTTAGTTTCGATGCAATAATTTTTGATGTCCTTAGGAGGTATCTAAAAAAAATTATATATATTTGTTGTTATTCTTAAACTGTTCTAAAAGCTCTTTAGTTTTTAACAATTTTTTGCTTAAAAATTTAGTCAATTCAAGTTCATAATTTGTAAAATAGCGCACTTCCCTTCAACAAATTTTAGTTTAAAATTTCTACATAAACTCGTAGATTTAGATATTAGTGTAATGAAAACGAAAATTTGATGTAATTTTTTTCACAAGAATTTTTAAAAAATTTATCCTAGTGTAGTAAATCAAGTTAAATTATAGTCCAGAAAGAGTATTATTTTGGGAAAGAAAATGATTACTATATGCTTTTTTTTTGGAACTTCGATCGAAATTAGTGTCGAAAAATCAGAAAACTGTGAAGGTAAGCAAAGAATGTAAATTTTTTTTCGTTTTTTCTGTTATGCTTCCTGAGTTATCTTATAGTTTAATAAAAATTTAAATTTAATTCACATTTTAAAATATGAACTAAATTACTACATACCAATTGGAAACGTTTAAATTTCAAATTAAAGTTGAAAGCAAAACCTGTTGAATAATAATCCGGCACCGCTATAATTTCACTTTGATAGTAGTGCTTATATGATAATTTTAAAAGTATTCCAAAAAGCACAAATAGCATTTTGTTGATTTTTAGCACTTTTCCAAAAAAAATTTGAAAAAAGTGCCTATTAGTTTCGTTTTGTCTGTGCCTCCGTGAATATGTTTGCAAATCTTCTGTAGCTCTCAAGATAAAAAGCTGAAATTTTATATGTATAATGATCTTTACTAGAAACTTACTTTCGTAGAAAAAAATTTTTACCTGTCCCTCAAAATCCTAAAAATGCTATTTTCTAACTATTTATTTTTCAAATTTTGCAAACACAGTAAAATAGTGGCTTGGTTCTTTTACCGCGGCATACAATACTTGAGCTTTAAAAGAACAAATTGGCCGTCAAAATTTTATCTAAAATTTGTTTTTTCCAAATTTTGATACCGTTTTTCTTTTACACCGTACGTTGCAGAAGTCTTGATTTTAGAAGCTCTTAGATTCATAAATAGTTTATTTCGTAAGAAGAAAATTCTTTTCCACCTAAAACACATCTCAAGTTATTGTCCCACGAAATTTGTAAAATTTTAATTTTTGGCACCTTTTATTTTCGAAACTTCTAGGATTTTCAAATTTCAAGCACAAAGCTAACGGTAAATACAATGCCATTAAAAAATATGATTATTTTTCTTAACTCACGCAATTAACCCTTAAAATCGAGCATGTTAATGCCTCTTTAATTTTTATACCCTGCACTTCGTGAAGGGTATATTAACTTTGGTATGGAGTTTGTAACTACTTGAAGGAGTTATCAGCGGTATGGACACATATATATATTATTGCTCAGCGTCAAATTCTGCGTCGATTTAGACATGTCCGTCCGTCCGTCCGTCCGTCCGTCCGATCGCACGATAACTCAAAAACGAATAAAGCAATCGATACCAAACTTTAACAAGTTTTTTCTTTTGTGCAAAGGTCGAACCCTATTGTTATTGGACTAATTCGGAGAACGGGTTCGGGTAGCTGCCATACAACTCAAAGAGTTTATTTTAAATATTTCAAAAACTAATAAAGCTATAAATATAAATTTGTATACATGTGTTCAATTATATTCTACACATGCTCTAAAAATTTTAATGGGATAACTCCACCGGTTCGGGTGGCTGCCATACAACTCCAAAAGCAAATTTTTTGTATTCGGAAAAATAATAAATTCAGATTCATGAAACTTGGCAGTCATGTGTCCAGTTATAAGTCAGATATATTTCTGAAGTTTTAGTGGAATTTCTGGACAGGCTCGGGTACCTGCCATAGCACTCCAAAAGCTTATTTTAAATATTTGGAAAAATAATAAAGTCAGATTCATGAAACTTGGCAGTCGTATGTCCAATTATAGGCGAGACAAATTTCTGAAGTTCTAGTGGAATCGCTTGATAGGTTCGGGTACCTGCTATACAACTCCAAAAGCTAATTTTAAATGTTTAGAAAAATAATAAAGCAAATTCATGAAACTTGAAAGTTGTGTGTCTATTTATAGGTCAGACATATTTGTGAAGTTTCTATAGAATGGTTTCACAGGTTCGAGTAATTGCTATACAACAACGAAAAGTGCAGGGTATAATGCAATCGGTTTATACCGAATGAAACGTTTTTACTTATTTTTTTTTACTTTATTTTAAAAACTGCATGAATCATTTATCCTAAATGTCTCAAATCCTTGAAATTGTTTCGTATATGAATGAAAGAAAATTTAATAATAGTAGATTGTTTTTAAAAGCGGTATTTTCATTTGTTGTACGGAAAAGTTCTGATTTACAAACTATTGGATTGGAACTTTATTTAAATAATTTCATGCAAATTAATTTTACTATATGAAATGAACAGTCAATATAATTCTACTGTGTTGTAATATCAAGTGATATTAATAACTTCATTCTATATTTCTCATCAGCCATTTTCACATAACAATCTGCATTCTTCTTACAGACCGCGTTGTATACAATGAATTAGGTTATGTGATGGCAACAAATTTTACATATTGAGTTTTCGGTGGGAACGCACTTCTCTATAGTAGGGAAGTGTAAATGAATTATTTTCAGCGACTTTTCAATCTGTCGGTCTGTCAGTCCATCAGTCTGTCGGTCTGTCTGTCTGTCTGTGTGTGCATGAGTGTCACTTTTGGGATGTATCAGGCTTTGGGAACAGGATTTTTTTGCGGATCAATTTTTGATTTTTGCCCTTATGAAGAGAAATAATCAACCGATTTCCTTGAAATTCAATATTTAAATTCGAGGTGTTAAAACTATGAATTCATAAATTTTTTGGAAGGATCAGAACTCGAAAACCGATCTAGGGGCCGATTTTACATTTGTTACCATATCTATGAAACGGATTCATGGAATTTTTTGAAATTCGATATTTGAGTTCTGGTTGTTACCAAAACTAACTGGCAAGCACAAAGCGAAACTCTACTAAGAGCGAAATTTACATTTTTTTAGGGTATGTTAACTAAAAGCTTACTAACGTCCTAAAAATTGGAAAGAGTATTTAAAAGGCAATATTCTGCAACATTTTCACTTAACTAAACAATACACATTGTGGTGGGTTATGCGCTGACCACATCAGATTTTTTTTAATTGGACTTTTTGCTTTCACAATTCGATTACTCATTTTCAATTCATTTATTCTAACATTTTAACCTTCAAAAACTAAGAAAATGAATGGTTGAATAGCCTGGAATATTCAATTGAACCTAATTTTGTACATTTTTGGAAAGACGATATATGTATATGCATAAGTCAGTATGTATATGTGTATGTGCATAATACGAAAAATAGTTTTTTCATTTGAAAATTACTTTACAATCTGAACAATATATAACATTCAATCACTTTTTTTTTTTTGTATTCGATGAAAAAGGAGAAAGTGAGAATGAAACCTTGTACATAAATGGCCGCTGAAAAAAAATTATGGCTATATTTGAATTTTTGAACAGAAGTTTTTGAAATTTATCAATAATTCTGCGATTTATACATATGTGTGTATGCATGTAAATTAGATACATACATACATATATATTTAACAATGTATTTCAATACAAGACTAATAAAAAACCCAACTTTGTTTACATTTTTAACAACTGAAATTTCAAAAAAATGAAATTTTCCATTTTTACCGACTGCATTGTATACAATTAGATAGGTCATGTGATGACCAAATTTTGGATGACGAGCTTTCGGTGGAAAGGCCCTTCTCCATAGTAGGGAAGCGTTAATAAACTACTTTTAGCAAGATGTCGGTCTCCGTGTGCACGCGAGTATCTCAGGTTCGGCTGAACCGACTTTGATGTGAGTTTATATTAACTATGGCACGGATTGGTCAACTTTTGGGATATATCAGACCTCTGGACCTGCCAATTTTACATTTTTGCGTATATAAAGAGTAATACACAACCAATTGCCGCGAAATTATTATTTTTGATTTCGGAGAGTTAAAAAAATTAATCTAAAAATTTTCGTAAGTATTAAAAATGTCAGGTTAATTTTTATTGTAATTTGCTTTTGTGTTGTTCATGTTTGCAATTATCTCTTCTCTTTTTTTGAAAATTTGTAAAATTAGAATTTTTGGCTTTTTATATTTTTGAA